ATTAGGTGTGACAAGTTTAAGTCTGCTTGGAGGAGGATATTGAGGGTGAAGCACTTCAATCATTTCTTTAAATTGCTCATTTTAAGCTACGCTGAAGGCTTTGTTAGCATAAAGAAGGCTACAGCTTATCAAGTTCAAGCCTGCCTTTCAATCTCTTAAAGCAGAACAGATTGATCAGTGTCTTTTTGGAGGAATGGGATTCAAAGATAAACAGACTGCTAGTGATAGAAAATGGTGTGGAAGAGCCGATGACTCTGAGCAGACTTAGAGCAGGGGCTTAAGTAACCATCACTACATTTCAATGACAACGCCATAAAAAGAACCTTGCAGAGTCAAATTTAGCATTCTGTTCTTTTCCTTCAAAAGACACATTTAATCTCTGGAAGTCCAAAAGACACAGATTTTCAGCACTCCGTGAAATGAACAAGAATTCTGTCCATCACGTTTGTTTCATTTTTTATGGAAATATCTTTCAAGGACTTAATACCATTTGGTCTCACATTCCTACTACTCCATTTTCATTTCAAGCTGTGACAGCTGTAACTATGCTCCCCACCTCGTCACCCCATAGAGCTGTCAAGGTATCTGAATGGAGCCTTGGTCTCATATCATACGAAGTTTTAAGCTTAGGGATTTCAGCAGCATTCAGAAAATCTTAATCTGGACTCCTACAGAACATTCACTATCCCTTCCCTCTCCTTGAGTACATGGGATGGTTGCTCTTGCTAGCTGCCATCAGCCATCCAGGCATGTTGAACTGATCTTCTCATGTATCAACTCTTAAAGCCTTTCCCAATAGCTCTGGAATATCTCTCAAGCTCCACTTTACAAGCTTTCAAATTCAGCTTCTAGAAAAACACAAGAACTAAAACTTCTGAGCAGTTTCTTACAAACAGCATGCTACATTTACAAAAATTCCACATTAACTGGACCCATCTCTACAACAAAAATCAACATCTGCAGGCATCTTTCCTCTATCTTCTCCAAGCTCCATGTCTCCATAGCTGTAAACCACACACCCACTCCTTTACGTCACCATTTTTGCTTTACCTTCCTAACAATGAATGACTGCACCTAGGGCATTTCAGGAAAGAGGTCTGAAACTAAACTGGACCAGCATCTTCTCTCAGATGGCCCCTGGGAAACCTTCAAAGTATAATGGGGTGACTTGTTGCTTTACAAGGGTCTTGTCACTTTCAAAGGTTCAGGTTGGATATTAGGAAACATTTCTTCCCAGAAAGAGTGGTGCTGCAGTGGCACAGGCTCAGGGAGGTGGTGGAGTCACCATCCCTAAAGATGTTTAAGAAACGTGTATGTGGCAGTGAGGGATGTGGTCACTGTGTATATGGGGTGGGCTGACAGTTGGACTGGATGATCTTAGAAGTCATTCATTGTAGTCATTCATTTCCACTACTGATGATCCAGATTAATGATGGAGAAGAAGTGGGGGAACATCCAAATGCACCTCACAATTAAGATTTTGTCTGTGTTTTCTATTTCAATCCAGACTGACATGCAATCATTGTCAAAGCTCATTCCAGGGCACACATCTCACAGAGCACTTCCTCTCTATATCTCAATGTTATTCCTGTCCCAAACTTTCTTTAGGGCTCTGTTGTCCACGAGAAATTACTGCAGAACTTATGATTTGATTATAGGCAAAGGAGACTACAACCTTGATAATGACATTCCACACCAAGTAATTGTTTTCTTTCTACTGCTATCACAGTAAATGAGATAACTCGGATAGGCAATTTCCCACAAATCTGTTATACAAAAGTGTACAGTCTGAATAATGAGCTGACATATTAGAGGTTATTAACATCTCCTGGCAACAAAATCTCTCTCCAGAAACTGAGAAATCCCAAAGGCCTCCCTTACCAAGGGGCCATCTCAGAAAACCTAAACCCATCACCATTTTTAAGTACTTATCAGAATAACGTTTTTGTAAAAAAATAAAAATCCACAACACATGATTCCAACACAACCTTTCACTCAGAAAATGCTGGTAATAAAGTAATAAACAGATGAGATACCATTAAATGAGTGTTAAAGTTGGTCATTCCTCCTGCTGAGGCCTATGTCAATAGTCGTCCTTAGATGTCCAAGAGTTAAACTCATATAGATATTATGCCAGATTGGATCTGTTAGAATATTTATGTTTTCAGCAGTAATTATATGTACTAAAATCTCAGTAGCTGCAGGCAATGAATTTGGTCCTCTCTGCAGCTTCCACTGCAGATTAATTGCATGAATTCAGTTAACATATACAAAGTAAGAGCTTCCATTACTCCAAAACACAAACCCCAGAAAGTACATCCAGCCTCTTAATCTCCTCACACAGTGGTTTCAGCACCAAATGGATAGGACTTCCTAAGAGTCCTAACTAGACTGTTAACAGCAGTGACAGAAGACATCAACTTGCCTGGCAAATAAGAACCTGCCTGGGTCAGTGCTTTCCCCATGCAGAACATGCCACTTTACTATTCTCCACTCAAAGGACGTAGGATGGGTCTCTGCTCCCATGGTTTAGGAACATGACCCAGAGGGATGCTGCCTTCTTACTGATTCCATCTCACAGCCCAGGTGCACTGTTAGCAAGGCACAGAGGTTTAATTTCTATGGGTTGCCAGATCTGCTCTCCAGTGCCTTCCCCAGTGCATCACTGGGTCTCAGCTATAACTGATGCAATTTTTTGCACCTGTACATTCCTTAAGCTCTACAAAATAATGAACTTTCCCAAGTACCCCATTCACCACATAACTCGCCATAGCTAAATCCAACAGCAAATCAGTTTGTCTGAAAGCATTTTGAGAAATAACAGCTTGACAGAAATTTCTCACGGTGATTTCCCAGAACAGTTTTCCTGTAACCACAACAGTACCACAGCTGCCCTCAGTCGTTCACCAAACAAAGAGAGGAAAAGCTCACCTCCCTTGCACAAATGCCCTTGACGGACATTTTCATTTGTAGAATTCATACCCATGTACCATGTCAGCAACAAGTCAAAGCAGAAACTCTGATGAACTAACGTGGATAAAATAATTATCTGTGGAAAGATTCCTATTTCCACAGAAAGTAAGGGAGATTCTTTCACTGCACTTTCCACAAATTACAAACTGGCTTGCCACTCTCAGAAGCACACTACCAACCCAAACAGTATTACAAAGATGCAGATGTTCTGATGCTGAAGTAATGAGCTTGACACACTCAGCTGAGACTGCCAGAACGAACAAGTTTCCTCTCTGTCAACACTGCAAGCATTTTGCAGATCAGAGCAGCCAGCTTCCCCAGATAAGGCAGCTCCTTCCTGGAAATGGAAGATAGAGCTGCCTTATCTCAGGATAGGGAAGAAAAAAGGTCACTCTTCACCAAAAGGCAAAGTTCTCACCTTGAAAGCTCTGCCCCTTGATTAGCATGGAACAACCAAGGTCATGGAACTTTTAATCAGATGCCTGCGTAATTACTAAATCATTATTAATTATATCAGAGAGGTAAGACCTCAGAGGAAAGGCAAAGCAAACAAAAAGCCCAATGAAGCCTTCTCTGCTGTTGGAAAAAAATTGGTAATTAAAAGTCATGAGTGCACCAAAGAAAGAAGGAACAGCATCGCAGTCACTGCTCAGGACTCAGAAGTGACTTGCATACAAAACAACAGGCTTGCCTCCCTAGGGAAATTACAGGACACTGTGTTGCAAAGCAGCGAGCTTAAAAAAAAACAAAAACAGGGAAGGAATGGGGAGGGGGGGTTGGAAAGAGAAGGAAGAAACACTTCTATATTATCAATAGCTTTATTTGACCCACAGAGAAGGACAGCACTGCCAATCAGTCCCAGGCTTGAGGGGTGGCTTCCTGATATTTGTAGCAGCTCTGTAAAGCCTTTTCCCATCCTTATGTCATGAGTTGCCATACTGAGAAGCACACAAAAGAATGAGGCCTTGTGTTCAGTTAAGTCCAGCCTACACACAGCCCTGTCCAGGAGCCCTTCAGCCCCTGTCCAAAGAAAGATTCTTCCAAAGAAAAGCCTTTATTTACTCAGTAACCTGAGCTCAGCCTTCATGACTACCCTGCCCTCAGAGGCTGTTTTTCAAAGTATTGCTATCAAAAACTGAAGGACTTCAAACTGCCCTTAAAAAAGCAATCAAACAAAGAAACAATTCAGAAGAAAGAACATATCATATTCCTACTCACACCATAATAGATCATAAGAGGCAATGATGGGCCCCACTGAAACCAAAGCAAGTGTTCTTGCCTCTCAGCTTCAGTATTGATCTTCTGGTTTCCATATTAATGATATGATATGCTGTCTCCAGGCACTGAGATATCAAAGATGGCTTCAGATGAAGAAGACACTAGATAAACTATAATTTGCAAGAAAACCCAAGAATCTTTCTGATCTGCTATATAAATAGTCTTACAGATCTATCTATGTAAAGATGACTGTGTGCAAGAAGTGGCAGGCCTGGGTTGAATTGCTGAAGACACCAGGTTAGATAGATCATGAGATCTTGATGAGAAGAATGGGCACTAATGCGCTCTACACTTGAAACAATATACAAAAACAGAGTTCAAAAGTAGCTCAAGAGCAGTTTGCAAGTCCAGAGATCAGAACAAAGAGACATTTCCTACTCTACTGCTCCAAGTACAGTAACTCAGAAAGATACACCTTCAAAATACTTCAAATTAGAAAGTCTTCCATTCAAAATACGACCAAGAAAGAATCAAAGATACTCAGAGCTGAATAGCAATGCAATTTGTGGGAATCTGCAACTGAATTAGAAACTAATAACAAACAACCTCTTGCAAACGCAAGACATTCAATTATGCCTAACTTTGACAGTACCTGAATCCAACAACCTTTTATTGAAGTGCATTTGGACCTTTTCTGAAATTCCACCGCTTGCCAACGCAATGCATTTTCTCTGCATTAGCTTTATCACAGAAGTCCATTTTCAAGTGCTGAATGCTAGCCCCCCCCGCCCCTATGTGAAAGAACCCACCTGTTGAAAATATCACCTGACACCTTTTGCAGGTACTGAAGTGCATCTGCCACCTGCTGAACAGCCTCTTCTCTGCGCAAGTCTGGTTGGATCAGGGGGACGGAATACGTTTGCCCTTCCAGAAAGTGCTTCTGGGCTACGGTAGTCATTGTGCCTAAAGGAAAGAACAAAAAGAACATCATAGCAAACAGTCTTCTATTGCATCACTCTTCTATTGTATCGCAGCTTTTGCTTAGAGACTTCACCCTCTGCCCACCCAACTATTTTAGGAAAGTGTTTGCAAGGTCATCAACGAGCTGATGAGGAAGGCACATTTTAAGGTTGATGGATTGATTTTTTTAAAAACCCAATGTAGCTATAGTAAAGGTGGGAGCCTTTTGCTTGCCTGAATGGTCTTAGGAACCACAATTTTATTTTTAGCATGATCATTAACAATTCGCTGTTCAGTACTATGCTGAAAACAAAGGCCATGCTTTGGAGCAAAATCAGTTCAGGCTGCTGATGAAGATTTGTCAGAAATCACCCTGTCCTCTCCTCCCATTCTCATATTCCAGATGGATACATTTCAGGTCATGCAACTCTATTAGCAAAACACAGCATTTCATTTTCCACTTCTGCTCCAAGAAACCCAAGAACTGCTCCCTTCCAAGAACGGCAGCTAAAAAAACAACAGGGCACGCATGCACACATGCCCTTGCTCCAAGTAGGTTAATGAGACTTCTTCCATTCTGAGACTCCCAGGAGCAGCTCATTACTTCTGGTAACTGGCTTATTCTTTGGTAACTATCTTGAAAAAAAGACTCCTTATTTCAGGATCCTTTCACATACAAGGGCTGAACAGTCACAGAAACATTTCAGTTGTCTTCAACACATGCACCGCAGTGCTATGCATGCTCCTAGATACAGCCAAGCCAAGAGCATTGCTCTGCAACAGAGTTAGGACAAGGCTGTGAGCCATCCATGCTTCCATGCTGCCAGCTGTGCTCATGTCTCTTCCTCCAATGTTCCCTCAGCCTGCCTCCCATGCTTTGGTGCACAAAAACAACAAAAAGTTCCTGGGACATAGAGGAGGGTGTTGAAATTTGTTTCTCTGATCATATTAGTAATTGTAAACTCACAAATACAAACTGCTTGGACAGTCTGATCTAACAGAGGCAAGTGTCCATATATTTTTCTGAAGCTTTGCTATTAGGCCTAAGCAAATCCTTTCAAATATGTTGTCTGCATGTGTCGTGCTCACTCAGACTATAAAAGACCCAGTCTACATACAGCTGCTCACTATGAGTTTTCATCATGCAGCGTGCTGTACATCAGCACAAGCAAATATTCACTCAGCCAAAACAAAAGCAGGATGGCAGTATGAGGTATCAGGAATGGACAGATTTGTCCCAGGATGCACACATTCCCCTGTGGCACTTGGAGGTTACCAGGAGCTGCTCCAGGGAGCACTGCAGTGTGCAAACAGCATCATGGTTGCTCCACCCTCATTAATGACAGAGGAAGGCTCTCCCCTTTCCCAAAGGAGGGCATGCAGAGGAGCTTAAAAAATGCAGAAACGCAAGTGAGCTTGGAGGAATTCAGAAAACAAGGGCCTGAAGAGACAGCTACAGCATCAACCAGCAGCTGAGCAGGTGAAAATTACAGGGATCTTCACACACTCTTTAATTTCCCTGCCTTGCTGCACAAAAGGCAAGGCTATTAGATTAGATGAGCCTGCAGCCATTCCTGCAGCACCCCCCTCTGAATTCATCATTTTTCATCCTACTGTATCAGCTGATACAGGAAATACCATCTCGAAATGTGGTATGTCTTTTATTTATTCATTTTATTTATTTATTTTTTTTTAAGCGAAGTGAAAAAGGAGAAGGAAACCAAGGAGAGCCATAGACAACAAATTTGCAAAATCAAGCCCAGCCATCAGAAGGCTTGGCGCTGCCGCAGGAAGCCTGGGCCCATTCTGTTTCACTTCATGCATCACTGGCAGCAGGCTCTGAATCCACCCTCTTTAGCAGCAATGTTTGCACACTGATTAGACTTCGTGACTGTGCCTATTCAGCAGACAGGAAATTATTATTTTGACTTGTAAAGCATACAAGTTAATCTGAAAAGGAGGGCGGCTAATTCTCAGATGGCTTTTTTTCATTTGCTGACCGTAACCAAGCTTGAATCCTTTTGATTTCAGATCTCTGACCAGAGTGACCGAGTGGAACAAAGCGACAGGCGAGCACAGTGAGCGTGCAGCTACAATATACTTCAGCTTCAGCAGCAAAACAAGTTTATGATCCTGCCTGTCACCGGTCACAACTCATTCGTTGCATCGATACTGCTGAGTTTCGCGATGCCTATTTTAAACTCAGATCAGTTCAATGACCCAATTTACTGCAGCCAGAGAAACAGCTGTAATTGCCCAGCCATGAGACAGAGCGGGAAGTGGGGGCGAGAAGGGGATTTGTTAAACTTGCTTATCAAAACCATTACCGTGTAATCCTGCCCCGGAGGATAACAAGGGCAAGCTTCTCACCTCAGGAGCTAGATGAGATTATTCAGCCCCAATATCATTTCCCAGATTCTCACCAATCCTAACGCTTTCGGTGACCTTTCTAAAGCCACACTCCATCCAGCAGCCAATGGACAGAAGCCCATGCTCTGAAGCAGCACTTCCCCAGCCACTACCAAGCTGTTTCTCTCCTTGCACCTAGAAGCTACAGATTGCCTTTCAGGTTCCAGTGCCTTGCAAAAAACAAACTCACACTGGTGGAGCAAAGTAGGAAAAGCCCGAGGTGTTCCTGCTTGTGTTCTTATTATTTTGGCAATCGGCAAACTTCAGCTTCACAGGCTCTTGACACAGCCTCTCACATGAGCTCCCCATTCTCACCTTTCCAAAAAAAATCCACCAGACTGGAGAGATGTGGCAGACTCTGTAAGAACCTGCTGTCAGATACAAGAGATGATTCTTTCTGTGCAGGGTAACAAATAACAAGTTTAAAGCAAGAAGGAGCAAAAACAGCAACAGCTTTCTAAATGACCAGAAGGGCAAAATCCCTTGCTACAGCTGTTATTACATTTTCTGAGCAAACCAAATGGGGAAGCAAGCCAGTTTTACAAGCACTCTGAGTAACGCCTGACTGTGTGCTTAGAATAACAGCAGGACTGCTTCTTCCAACAGAAGGGGCCTCCAGGTACAAGGAAGATTTTAATGGGAAAAATTCAAAGTATTGCCAACCAAAGGCAGGAAGGGAAGCAAAGACCAAATGTCACTCAGCAAGACTGATTCCTCCTTGATCACAGCCATCAGTGTAGCAAAAAAGGAGCAGCCATTCTCCTTAACCATATTCCATTACCACAATCAATAATTACAAAAAACCAAAGTGCCGCAGAGGAGAAATATCTCAGCTTCCCCATCCTGCCCAACGGACACCAAGCCTTCACTTAACACACACCAAAGATACAAATAAACTCTTCACGTCTTTCACCTAGAATTGCCTTCCAGAGGAGCAATAAACTGGTTTCAGTATCATTCCAGATTTTTAGAGAGGAGCTAGCATGTGTCAGCAGAAAGCACTGCATCCTGAAATTATGAAGGCAGGCCAACAAGAAATGCTCTGACGCTGCAGTGAGAAATGGGCATATAAAACCCCAAGGCAAGTATGATTCAGAAAAGCAGATGTCAGATCACCCAGGAGATTTCATCATTAGTGGTATGACCACCTGTGGGCCACACAAGGCAGAGCAAGCGGCACGGAGGCTCTTTTTTTTGTGATCAAAGAGGCTCTGGAGAAGAGCTGAAGCATCTGGGAGCTCCAGCCAGTTTTTATTCAATTATTTTTTCTATGTCAACTTTCAAGATCAAGAAAAATGCGTTCTTGTGTTATATAATAACCACATTTGCCTTATTAAGCTGCAAAGAATGAGAAAATGATTGTTTTCTCACCGCACCTCCTGCTTACGTGTGCGATATCTTGATTTGGAAGTTCTGGCTTGAGCTAGCGATTGTTCACATTTGCACTGCTGCCTGAAGCTGTGCCTTTAACCTCAAGTAAGCTGGGATAAAGGCTGTCAGAGCTGCTGACTATCTCCTATGCACAAAGCCAGTCCCTTCTCAGCTCCAACACTCACTCAAGCAAAAGCTGATGGAAACAACAGCAACAGGAAAGGCAACATAAGGCTCTCACAGAACTGTCTTATCTTTCCAAAAAACTTGCACCGGGATACATACAAGCTGAGCATTCCAGGTTTTCCAGGTATCTGCAACCAGTCAGACTATTCAACCACCACAGCCAAGTCTAATGAATACTCCAATGGCTACAGATAGACTTGCGGCTCTCTGAAGCCACTGAAGAAAGCATACAATTGATCACTCGAAGTAGAGAAATACTCCTCCTACTTTGCTCCCTCTGAGACCAAGAAAGAAACTCCTTATACAGAGGCTAAGCCCAGGAGAACTTGTTACACAGCAAATAGAGTCTGTAAGAGAAGGAAAACTCCTTCAAAATAAAGCTCCATGGAGGAGATCATTGAGATGATTATCTGCAAACAAAAAAAAAAACCTCACAACCTTATAAAACCTTAATTCTATAAGGGAACACAAACAAACACATGGATTAATAATTTGCCTTCCCTCAGCACAGGGAGAGACTGCTATATGTACAAGCACTTATCAGACACATACTTAGCTGCAAAAATGAAGGAGAATAAAAGCAAGCCACCAACAATACTTGCTTCCTTAACATGCTCCAAGGGATAAAAAGGGGTCAGGGGAAGAACAGCACTTAAACACTTCGGAAAAAAATATCAGTGTGTGTTCTTCAAAGATACAAGAGCTGTTTCAGAAATTGCTGTGCTGCTGCTTCTGTCTCTGCACTGGAAAGGCAGAACCAAGTAACAGCCTTTAATTTCCACATGCAGTAACAGCCCCAAGAAGAAGTGACACACTCTCTCTAGCCCTCTGCCTCCCCTTTGTAGGTCTCCAACAAAAGATCAGTGACTACCTGCAAGGACACAGAGACAAGAAACGTGCAATAAAGTCTGCAGTGTGCAATAAAGATCCTCCATCACCAGCAGGATAGCTCCATGCTGGGAACAGACCAAGGCACAAATGCACTGTGGGTTAAGGTTAACACCCAGAAGATGGAACAGAGACAGATATGGGGTACA